CCTTTTTTCAAATTATGGAGTATTAAAAATGGGGCTCACGTGATTAAATTGTCAGTCAATAGTTCTGGGACGGGATTAGAAAACGATTCAAGCCTCCATTCTGGTAGTATTTTTAAAATTAGTACATTATCCGTAGAACTAATGTAAATAGTAAAATCACAATATATTCTTTTATCTTGCCTTTCTGCTTTTTTATAATTTTACTATTTTCATGGTATAGTAGTCTCTTGTGTGGCCATTTGTTCTATTGCAAAAATGGGGACTTAAGGACAGTTATTGTGTGATCAAGATGAATTTTTTATTGTACTATTTTGATAGCTCTTCTCGTTATTGCTCTTGTGGGCCACACCGCTATTTTATTTCTGGGTATTGTACTGCAGTTCATTGACTTGACTGCATGAGCTTGTATTGTGATTCCCTGCCATGTTTTTGACTGTCTTCGCCCTACTTAACCCGTCACTTGATATGTACTTCCTATTCCGCATCGTTACTATTTTTCCTCTGTTCACATGAGGCTTTCTTATGTATAGAATATTCGAATGATTTTTTATTTATGTAAGGGTGACGAACAAATGAAAGCGTGAAACAGAGGCTTCAAAGTAAAACAGTTCAAACTGCTTTGCTTCTAAAACAATATGTAAATGGGCAAGGAGTACCAAAGAATGCAAAGCAATTACGCTTAATGACAATGTGTTTAATTAAGGCAACTATTTAGGCATTTCTCGGGGTTTTGCTATCATATAGCTTAATTGGATCCCCATGCTCTTATGATATCCCCTGTAGGGAGAGTCATATTACGGAGTGCATTCATTTTCACAAATTTGAGATCATCAGGCGAGGTCTTTAATTGAAAGGATAAAAATATTCAAAATATAGGCGTATTCATTTCGCTTTTTGTCATTGATTATTTGCCCTATTTTCGGTGTAGGCCAGAGAGTTTCCATATTTTTGTGCCTCGGAGTTTGCGTTTTTGTAACGGACACCCAAGTAACTATAACTCCACTAAGAAATATTGCTTTTATCAGACTAGCTATGCCGTTGAAATACAGATTAGTTTTTGTTGGAACGGTGCTGCGAAGGCTGGCTAATATACGAAGATTAAGCGGATTTCGATGAATCTCTGATAACTCTAATTTGTAGATACGAAGAGAAACTGGGCTTCGATGAATCTCTTGAGATAACATTGTTAGGGGGACTTTCATTTCGAATGAACGTGAATGAAGAAGATATTCGTTGCTCGATCTCACCAGGTGAGGACGGATAAATTTCGTTATACTGCAGCAGTTTGTCTTTTATAGAATATGTCGATGCAGTCCACGAGACTTCCTTCCTTGTTTCGGGTGAAAACGTACTGAGATTTCGTTCATCATATGATGGACATCATCAGAGTTAGGTGTTATTGTAAAAGTTTCACGTTAATAATAGGGCAAGAACACT